GCAACATATACATGGCACTGATCTAAAAACCTGGAATACACAATTGAACAAAACTATGATCTTTTCCCCTTGAAGTTTACATTCTAATAAAGATCTGGGAAGTTCTATTTTATTCAGCCACTGAACATTACTAAGTGACTACTCTATGGCAATTAGATACTGAGAAGAGAAGGACAAATGAAGATAAATGATACAGATCTCATGGACAGGTCACATTTGAATTAAACCTGAAAGTCAAATAGAGCTGAGGAAAATGGAGAAGACATACTAGGACTCAAAGGGGCAGAACAAGAATGAGGTCGTTTTCTGGAAAGGAAATAGTGGAATATGGAGATTTGGTGAAACTACAGCAGGTGAAGTATCAAAGTACATGTGTTTTTGTTGATTTTTTGGTGATGAAGCATGATAGGAAAGCAATAATTTAGTGAAATCAATCTGGAGGCAGTGTGTATGGAGTAGAATAAAGGGAGAAAGTGCCAAGACTGGGAAGATTTGTTTGAAGTCTGTTGAAAAAACCCTGGTCAATATAAAATAAATGGTGTGATCGCCTAATATAGAATGAAATAAAGTATTTGAAAGATAATTACAAAATGTTGATAATAAATCAGAATTGTCTGACAAGTTAAATAATCAATTGTCATTGAATGTGCCATATTTTTCAAAGAAAAAGAAAGTGGGAAAGATTCCTCTAATATATTTATCCCTTGATTTTGTTTAAACGTACATTTTAAAGGTGAGGAAAGTTTACTTGTACATGACACAAAATTAATAAATACAAGAATGAATAATTCTAAGACTCCATATCCATTAAAACCTGTTGCTGTTAAGTCAATTTGACTCATAAGGACCCTATAGGAGAGAGTAGAACTGCCCCATAGGGTTTCCAACGAGTGGCTGGTGGATTTAAACTGCCGACCTTTTGGTTAGCAGCCGAGCTCTTAACCACTGCGCCACCAGTGCTCCATTAAGACTCCATAAACCAAAAAAAGCCCATTGCCATCGAGTCGATTCCAACTCCTAGCGACGCTATAGGGCAGAGTAGACCTGCCCCACAGAGTTTCCAAGGAGTGCCTGGTGGATTTGAACTGCCTACCTTTTGGTTAGCAGCCATAGCACTTAATCACTACTACACCAGGGTTTCCCAAGACTCTGCAGAGATTATTTATTTAATCGGTTTTCACAATAATTTTCACTGGCAGAAAAAAAAAAAAGCTTAAATATGCTGTAATGAGAAATTTATATTTTTCCTTTGATTTTATCCCTGAATCTCTATAAATAGTAAAAGTTGGCACTGTATACATTATAATAAAGTGTCTTGCACTGCAAATGAGTCAATTAAATGAAGACCTGTGATTCTTTTTAAGTCATCTGTTAGGAAACCTCTCTAGAATATATCACCATTTATGATGTGTCCTGTTTAACAACAAATCACAGAAAAGATGAGTGAGGTCCCAAGTTTCTGGCAGATAAAGCAGTAATACAAGAAGGGTGAAGGTTCATGATGGCACCACCCACAGGAGTGCTACTTCAGATTCCCTGCCTCAGCTTCAATCAGAAAAATCACAAGATTTAGTTGCACTTATGTTTCATTATCTGTGTGCTGCAGGTTGAAAATAACTGCTGAATAAATTAGCATCAGATCAGAGAGCATGAAATTAAGGACACAAATAAAGTGAGTTGCTACATGGTAAATTAAAAACAAGCTGAAGACTTCCTAGGTTGAACATCAAGAGCTACATATATAAAGGAGAAATACAGTTTCAATTTACATAGAATGAAAATAAAAACAAAGAAATATTTTAAATATTTACACGCGTAGCCACATGGTGGGCATCATCATCAAATAGAACATTTAATTAAGAGACTGAAAATATAAAAAATGTCTTTCCCAATCTCAATACCATTTTTTGAGACTAGATTCTAACTCACAAAATTTAGATATGACTCATTTTTTATATTGACATTTGCTTCTAAAAGTAGAAGCTTCGAGTGTGTATAAATACATGAGGACATTAGTTGTCTTAGTATTGAAAGTTTAGCTGTCTTAGTTTGTCCCAGACAGAACCCATTCCCATTCACAGAAAACACGTTCTGTAATTAATCAAGGGTCTACAGAAGCAGATGAATGTTAGTGTTTTTTGTTTAAGTTTGATTGTTGTCCACTACTATCTGATGCAGTAACTTAAATTAAAATAAACACTTATTCACTACTATAGTTACCTGCAATTTTGTTCCTACACACCCACATACACACTTTAATTTAACCTGCATAACAATCTTGTTTCCTCTTTTTCACATGACATCAAAGCTCAAAGTGTTAAAGTGTGCTGACCACTGATTGCATTAGGTTTAGATGTTACTGAAAAATAGCAACAACAACAACAACAAAACAGTTGTTGTTGAGTTGCTTCCATCTCATGGAGACTCCGTGAGTTGCACCGTAGAACTGTGCTCCACAGAGTTTTCAAGGCTGTGATTTTTTGGAAGCATATCATCAGGGTTTTCTTCCGAGGTGTCTCTTGGTGGGTTCAAATCTCCAAACTCTTTGTTAGTAGTCCAGCCCTTCACCGTTTGCACAACCCAGGGACTCCTTAGATGCTATAAACCCGTTGCCATTGAGTTAATTCTGACTCAGAGTAACCCAATAGGACAGAGTAAACTGCCCCACAGGGTTTCCAAGGCTGTGATCTTTACAAAAGCAGACAGAACTGCAGGCGGGTTTGAACCACTGACCTTTTGGTTAGTGGCCAAGTGCTTAATCACTGCACCACCTGGGCTCCTTAGATGCTATCAGCTTACATAAACATTTAGAATGTGATCCATATCTTCAAGGAGCATATGTTTTTAGCTAGGGAGCTAAAACATATATGAAAAAGAGACAAAATTAAATGGAAGATTTGGATAACAATTTTGGACCAGTAAAAAAAAAAAAGTTACAGACTGCTGAAAAAAAAAAAATCCTTAGCATAAGCACAGTGTTCATAAGAGGAAAATAATACTTCAAGCTGGAGAATTCTTTTGCAGATATGATGGAATGTGGGTAGGGTTTTGAAGGACTTGAAAAGGTGCTGAACACGAGGATGTATGTTTCAGAGAAAGAGGCGATGCGGGAAGAAAGAAATACCAGGTGCATTAAAATGGACTAAGAGCAAAATGGATCTGAAGGAGTTCAGAGTATAGGAGAAATCAATAGAAAGGTAATAACTATATACTTGTTACATATTTACGCTGTGTCACTCCCAGTCTAAGCTTTTAATTTTATTAATTCTTGTTATTTTTACAACACCATGAAGTGAGTGCTATTCTCACCCCATGCCATTGATGAGGAAATTAAGGTTCTGAATGTTTAATTAACTTGCGCGAGGTCACACAGTAGTTTATGGCAGAAGCAGAATTCAGATTCAAATGGTTGGATCCACAGATCATAGTCTTGAAGAGTATGCAATACTGTCTTCTATGATAATAATAGCAATCTGACACCCTTCTGAACATTACATATTAACTTACTGCAGAGGGTAGATTAGTTTCCTATACAACTTTATCTTTACCGTGTGGGTAACGAGACGTTATGGTCAGAGTTTATTTTGAGGAATTTACATTTGGCTGCCATGTGAAGGATGAGATGATGTGGACTTAATCAAATATTTGCTTACAATAATTTATGGGCGCTAATTCATCTGAAGGAAGAAACACTTTTAAGTTTTGCAGAAACCCACGTGAATGCAGTTTATTTGTATTGCTTTGCTACGTTTCTCTGTGAGCATTCTTAACAGAGATGAGTATTTATTGGAGCTATGGAAAAAAAAAAAAATCCCCCAGAAATAAAAGCTGAATCAAATGTTTAGTCAGTCGTCAACACAATACTTCTTACTGTGGTCTTATTCTAGAACTTGTAAGGAGTTTCCACATTCTCATCCAGTACATCTTGTTTAATTTCCAACAGCTTTGGGAATTAACTAGTTAGATACTAAGTGAGTATATTTTTTTGTTTCTTTTGTCCCTCTTTATCACGGAAAAGGTTTCTTTCATTTGTTTTGGCTTTGTTTTGCTTTCAGTGTTTAAAAGCTAGATGGTCTAAATAGGTATTAAACCAACTGAAATTACTTAGTCATTTAACAGCATTTATTGAGTACACATTGCCTGTAGGCATATTTGGAATATGTAATTTAAAGGTAGACTAACAGAAACTGGAAGTTAAACAAATGCTTGGAACTCAGTCCAAAGAATAAAACTTTTCAGGGTTTTTAGATGACTTTAATAAGTGCTATGTATGGTCTGATGGAAAATGAAGAAATGAGAATACATAGAAATGACAAAAAAAGAATGGAGTAAAATAAAATAAGTACTTCAGTTATGCACCACATAAATCATTGAATGAGTGAAGATGATTTGAAATCTTTATATTGAGAGGTTTAATATAAAATTAAAAGAGATATGTAGTGATAGGTAGTTCTGGATAAACACCAGATTTTCTTTAACAACTAATGAATCTCAAGGAATTTTTAAAGCCTTTTGAGGTTATTGCTTACCCTGGAACAATTAAAATGCCTCAGTGAAGAAAATGAGTAAGAGAAATACATCTGACTGCAAAGAACTGCTTAAAAGGTGGCGGGCACCTATGGTGGTAGCATCCTATTAAATGTTAAACTTCAATGATTCCATCAAAGCTTTGAAGTAAATATTTCATTAGGATAAAGGTGAAAGATTCAGGAAAAAGAAAAGTTAATACCTTACTGCTCCTTTTATCTGGTTACATATTTTCTGACACTGAATTCTTAGTAGATGGGTTAATACATAGGTTTAAAAAATAAATAGAAATTCAGTTTCATTGAAGATCAGCTTTGACATTAATTTTCTAAACACAGAGTAACTATAATTAGGGAAATTGTTATTAGCATTATTATAGCTATGTTCCTCACTAACTTGAAATTAATGATAATCTACTAGAAAGAGAGTGAGTGATGTTACAGAAACATGTACACATTTGCCATTGTACTTACTTTTGGTTACAACACCTTCTAAATGGATGATGTTAGGATGATCAAATTGTCCCATGATACTTGCTTCACCTAGGAAATCTCTTCGTTGCTTTTCAGTATAGCCTACTTTAAGGGTTTTGATAGCCACAGGTAATTCTCTTTTTCCAGGCAGTTTCAACCGTCCACTACAAACTTCACCAAATTCACCTTTTGATAAAAAGAAAAACAAAAACAAAAATAAAGAAGCACAAACTCATTTGACATGCATTTTTATTATAATAATACTTGAATGTACTTTTGTATTATTAAGATTCTAAATAGCTTGGCTTTGGTTTGAAATAGCTTATTTATTTTTGGTTAAAATGATCTGCATTAAATTTCAAATATTTCAATATCATATCCACTTTCAGTTTACATTGTAGAGTGAGAAATGCCCATCTGAATATCATTATCAATGTTAATAGAAGGAAATGACACACTGGGAAAAATAATCTACAGATGGACATACAATATTTTGGGGTAAGTTTCGTTTATCTCACCTACAAAAACCTTAATGGAAAAAATACAGAGAAATTAAAACCAATTTACTGATAATTACTTCTTTCCACCTTCTCTAGTAGTAGGAATAATGGGTAGATAAAAGGGGAAAACTTATAGCAGAATAAAAAGAAAATACTTTTTAAGAAGAGACTATCCACAATTAAAATAATTGTATGTTTTAATTATGTAATACTTTTGGTATTTGAGTATATGTATCCAACCATAGATAGTGAGAGAAATAGATAGACAGTTAGATATATATACACAAATATCAAAAGTATCACGTAATTAAAACATATATGTATGTGTGTGTGTACACACACACACACACATATATATATTTACCTATATATATCCCCAAGCTGCCTTAAATGCTAAATTAGCTAATACTGAATCCATTGCTCCTAGGGAAAATACAGGAGGTTAGGTTTCTCTGAAACTCTGGATACAACATTTTCATCAATTAATCAATACATAACTTTGCTTTATGTGTGTTTCTGATTATAGGTACATTATTTAATATTTATTGTTCATTTGTTAACATTGACCTCATGGCCAACAGCACTATAACTCACTCCTGAAAAAACTTATCTAACACACATATTTTCTCCATAAGGCACATTTGGTACCGAGAGTGGTTCTAGAGAAAAAAAAAAGTCATAAGGATGAGTTTTCTAAATTGGTTTTCAAGTCTGACTAGTCTGAAAGGCACTGATGACTTTGCCTCCAGTAAGTAAAGTAGGCGTTGCTAATCCATGGTGTGAGGTGGCAATATTAATATGCAAAATATCACCATCAATAGATCAGGTATTGGTGAGAAAAGAGCCTCTGAGTGATCGCATGTGTGATATTTTTCTACAATTTTATCAGAATGAAAGTATAAGGAAGCTCATTGGTTGGTCCTACTTTCACTAGACAAAGCAGTAATAGAAAGAGATGAGCTCAGGGCTTCAGAGTCACAGCTCAAGTGTCGCATATATGACCTTAAAATGGTTACTTGTGCTCTGAAAAGAAAGACTTATTTCTTGTAGTAACAGAGATGATATTGCTGAAAACTAAACTCAGAGTCTTATTTATTGTAAGAGTAGCTGAATTACAGTACCAGTGGAATGGTGTCTGAAGTTAAAATGAGGGCATTGATTGGGAAGAAATGGGATCCTGAAACTTGGGATGGGGATACATGGGCAGATAATAAGAAAGCTGAAGACAATGAGCCCTCAAATTCTGTTGAATCATTCCTGCCAACAAAACCAGCCCTCTTACTCCTATCTGAGGATATCACTCTATCTTCATCAGTTAAGCAACTCTCCCCAGTAAAGCCGTTATCCTTCCCACCCCCATCTGATGACATTAACCAAGGCTAAGACATCCAGAAGTACAATGCTGTCAGTGGTAGGATAATATCCATACACCTACAAGGAAGACCAGTTAATAAGACTATTATTCAAATTTACACAAAAACCACTAATGCTAAAGATGAAGAAATTGAAGATTTTTACCAACTTCTGCAGTCTAAAATTGATGAAACATGTAATCAAGATGCACTGATAATTACTGCTGATTGGAATGCAAAAGTTGGAAACAAAGAAGAAGGATCGGTAGTTGGAAAATATTGCCTTGGTGATTGAAATGATGTCAGAGATCGCATGATAGAATTTTGCAAGACCAAAAACTTATTCATTGCAAATACATTTTCTCAACAACATAAACAGTGACTATACATGTGGACCTTACCAGATGAAATACACAAGAATCAAATTGACTACATCTATGGAAAGAGACCACGGAGAAGCACAATATTATCAGTCAGAACAAGGCCAGGGGCCAACTGTGGAACAGACCGTCAATTGCCCCTACGCAAGTTCAAGTTGAAGCTGAAGAAAATTAAAAATAAGTTCACAAGAGACAAAGTACGATCTTGAGTATTTCCCACCTGAATTTAGAGACCATCTGGAGAATAGATTTGATGCATTGAACACTAATAACCAAAGGCAAGATGAATTGTAGGATGACATCAAGGACATCATACATGAAGAAAGCAAAAGGTCATTAAAAAGACAGATAAGAAAGAAAAAACCAAAATGGATGTCATAAGAGACTCTGCTACTTGCTCTTGAAAGTATAGTAGCTAAAGTGTACAGAACAAATGATGAAGAAAAAGAACTGAACAGAAGATTTCAAAGGGCAGCTCAGAAGACAAAGTATTATAATGCAATGTGCAAAGACCTGGGGTTAAAATTCCAAAAGGAAAGTACACTCTAAGCATTTCTCAAGCTGAAAGAATTGAAGAAAAAGTCAAGCCTGTAGTTGCAAGATTGAAGAATTCTCTGAGCAAAATATTGAGTGATGCAGAAACCATCAAAAGAAGATGGAAGAAATACACAGAGTCACTGTATCAAAAATAATTGGTCAACTTTCAACTATTCCTGGAGGTAGAATATGATGAAGAACCAATGGTATTGAAGAGAGAAGTCCAAGCTGCACTGAAGGCGTTGGTGAAAAACAATGCTCCAGGAACTGACAGAATATCAGTTGAGATGTTTCTTCAAAGAGATGCAATGCTGGAAGTGCTCACTCATCTATGCCAAGAAATTTGGAGAGAGCTACCTGGCCAACTGACTAGAAGAGATCCATATTTATGCCCATCCCAAAGAAAGCTGATCCAACAGAATGCAGAAATTATCAAACAATATTATTAATATCACATTCGAGTAAAATTTTGCTGAAGATAATTAAAAAATGGTTACAGTAGTACATAGACAGGAATCTGCCAGAAATTCAAGCTGGATTCAGAAGAGGACTTGGAAGAGGGATATCATTGCTAATGTCAGATGGATCTTGGCTGAAAGCAGAGAATAATACCAGAAAGATGTTTATCTATGTTTTCTTGACTAGGCAAAGGCATTCGACTGGGTGGATCATAACAAATTATGGGTAACATTGCAAAGAATGGAAATTCCAGAACACTTAATTGTACTCATGAAGAACCTGTACATAAACCAAGATGCAGTTATTTGGACCAAACAAGGGTATACTGCATGGTTTAGAATCAGAACATGTGTGCACTAGGGTTGTATCCTTTCACCATACTTACTCAATCTGTATGCTGAGCAAACAATCCTAGAATCTGGACTATATGAAAAAGAACATGGTACCAGGATTGGAGAAAGACTCATCAACAACCTGAGATATGCAGATGACACAACATTGCTTGCTGAAAGTGAAAAAGACTTAAAGCACTTACTGATGAAGATCAAAGACTACCGCCTTCAGTATGAATTGCACTTCAATATAGAGAAAACAAAAATCCCCACAACTGGACCAATAAGCAATATCATGATAAACAGAGAAAAGATTGAAGTTGTAAAGGATTTCATTTTACTGGGATCCATGATCAACACCCATGGAAGCAGCAGTCAAGAAATCAACCAATGTATTTCTTTGGGCGAATCTACTGCAAAAGACCTCTTTCAAGAGTTAAAAACAAAGATGTCACTTTCAGGACTAAGGTGCACCTGACCCAAGCCATGGTACTCTCAGTCACCTCATATGAATGGGAAAGCTGGACAATGAGTAAGGAAGACTGAAGAAGAATTGATGTCTTTGAATTATGGTGTTGGCAAAGAATATTGTATATACCATAGACTGCCAGAAGAATAAACAAATCTGTCTTGGAAGAAGTACAGCCAGAATGCTCTTTATAAGCAAGGATGGCAAGACTTCTTCTCATGTACTCTGGACATGCTATTAGGAGGGAACCAACTCCAAGGCACATAACAACAACAACAAAGCATATTACAGCCTTCTTGCGTTTAGAAACACTAAATAACAGTTTAATACTCTGCTTCAGGCCATTTTGTTGGTAAAATCACCAACAAAATTATCAATGAAAGCACAAAAATGTGAAAAACATGTCATTAAATAGACATAGTGAAAAGAATACTTGTTTGTAGTATGATAAGAGAGGCAGGGTGCTGCCTTGTTTGACCTCAGCTGTGAACCTGTGGTGGGGCAATTCAAATTTTTCAATGCTCTGTGCTTGTCTGCAAATGATGGTGAAAGTGGAATATAATGCATACTAGATAGTGAAGTATGGTCAGTTTGAACATTTGCTAATTAAGCATGAGCTACATAGAAGGTAATGTTAAAATATGCTCAGTTATATATCACTTTTGAAAGCAAGCCAATCACCAAAGATTTAAAACAAAACAAAAAAGCATTCTGTTAGATGAAGGCATTGACATTGATAAATTACATGCTGCATTACAAGTTCAACATTAGAGTTACTGTACCTGCTCCAATAACTCTTTCAATGGTGGTACATGAAGCTTCTATCTCCTTGGCAAATTCATGGACAGCTTGATTGGGGTCCTCATAGGTATGTGGATCAATATAAGTTCTTACTCCTGGCAGTTTAACTGTAAAAATAAATAGGCATTAAAATAGATGTGGTTGTGATAGATGAGAGAAATTTTAAACTTTATTAAAATGCTGAATCCCCCAATCTCTTAAAGTGGCTGAGCTACAAGAATAAGCCATCTCCTGAGTTATGAGAGTCATTTGTACAGCTATCTACATAACTTTTATAGTTTTAGAAACCTGGGCTGTTGGCATGCACAAGAAAGGTAAATAATCCAAATAGGGCTGTGACCTAACATGTCTGAGCAAATTCATCTTTTGATGTTAATGTTCAAATTATCAGTCTATGAGGCAAATTCAGACAATTTTCGTTACCAAACGGGACAAAGAAAGGCTAGTGGTTAATTTGTTACAGTATATTTCACATAGAAATATAATCATAGATTGTTAATGTTGGTATTACAAAAAATAATTGAATATAACACTTCTGGTGATGTGGTGCAACAATTCTGAAGTAGAAGTCAAAAGTAAAAAAGGTCTACTCACTTTACTCCTGTTACTACATGACTTTATGCAACACTCATACATTCTCATTTTTATTACTTTTAAAACCAGCTGCCTTCTAATCAGTTCCAACTCATGGTGACCCCTTGTGTGTCAGAACTGAACTGTGTTCCATAGAATTTTCAGTGGCTAATTTTTTTAGAAGTAGCACACCAGGCCTTTCTTCCAAGGCACCTCTGGGCAGACATGAACCTTCAACCTTTAGGTTAGCAGGTAAGTGCATTGTTTGCACCATCCAAGGACTTACCACCTTTAAAGGCTACCAACATAACTCTTGCAATGTTTTCTTAGTATATATAACATTCGCTAAATTAAAAATAGGAACATAGACTCTAAGCATGAGTTATAGTTTTAATGATTTTGATTTTTATAGTCATGACAGAGTGACAAAACCAAATAAACTCCTTTTGTCATTTACTTGACAAAACATCTCATTGAAATTCTTAATAGTATATTTATGGAAAAACGAATGTATTAAAATACCAGAATTAGAACTCATTTAGGCTATTGTGTTTTAGCTAGTTACGAAAACGTGATCTTCTGCATGTGTTAAAAGTGTAGTCTCTTTCAAGGTATTTAAAGCAAGGCTGCTGCATTGGGCTCTGCTCAGGGACTTTTCTGATACACTGTTAGGAGATAAAAGAACTGAGAAGTTTCATTCATTTAAAAATGGTGGAGTTATGTAATGAGAGATTTCTACTCACTGTGTTACCAGGTATTAGAATTGGCTGGAAAATTTGGTTTAAACTATAACATATTTTCATTTTAAGCAAAGGTTTTTATTTTAATAATTATAATGAAATTATGCATTCAAGAATTGAGTAAACCGTCATGTTGCTGCGTAGGGCCAACTTATAGTGGCCCATTTGCTTTATAGGAATGTAACAAAACACATTTGAAACACTATCTTTTTGGTCAGTTACTGCAAATCCCCTAGCATGATAAGAAACAAAAATAACAATAAATCCACCTTCCATCCCCTCCTCCTTTTTTTATTTTGTGTGTATTTTCTACAATTCGCTTACTGTGCCCATTATGAAAATGCATCTTTTCCTCTTCGGGATCTTGTTTTGCTTTGCTGTAGCCACACCGCCTGGAACAGAGTAAGCTACAATTAGCCACATCTGAAAGTGGTGAATTGTATCAAGCCCAGAAGGACGAAGTACAATTGGAACTATTGCAACCCTAAGTTGTTTTTTCACACTAGTCACATGAAATAACACTAAAGCTCCTTTAGGATGGATCCTATATCCCCAAGGCAGTATGCCTCACTCTCAGCAAATAATCCTGCCTGAAATTTCACTGAGAAGCCTGAAGACATCCAAACCTTGTTTAACGTCCCTTCACCATACATCATATACCAAACATTTGTATATGTCCTTCCTTGCACTTTTTTGCCATCTCAGAGGCAACTGCCACTTTTTCAGGACAAAGTGAGCAAATTATGCCTCTGATCCAGTAGCCTCCCACATTCAAGATTTAATTAATTAATTGAAATCTCTGTAGTTTTGGAGTCTTTACTTGTTCCACCAACTCTTTTCCACTCAGATCCTTATCAAATTTACCACAACCCCGTCTTCCTGTAATCCCTCAGCTCTTCTCCCAAATCTTAGTCTTTCGTGGTTTTCTCAACTACCCACTAAATGATAAGCCCTTGCCACATGCTCTGTTACTAGCAACAATATATACTTCTGAGGTTCACTGATGACACTGTAACTTCAAAATCCAATCACTTTGTCTTAGTTTTTACTCACTCTAAATAGGCTGAAACGCCTAACTACTCCTATTCTGACTCCTTGCTCTTCGATAAATTCATGCAAAGTCATTTCCATAGGATCTCTGAATGAAATTCTCTCCTGGCAATTCCATTAATTTCCTCCCAAGTAATTAACACCTCTATCACTCTGGTTTGATTTCTTTCAAGGGCTATGCTTTTACACCTGATAGATTCCTTTTATAGGGATATTCCACTGGCATTTCAAACTTAATGAATCTGAAAGAGAAATCAGTATATTTCTCTTTACTCCTCTCAACCCTGATCGTCCTTCCTATGCTGTTAATAATTCCACCATGGCTCCGTCCTCTAAGATCAGAACATGTTTCTGTTTCCTTCACAACAAATTAGTCACCAAATACAAGAATTATACAACTCACTTGTCTTTAGGTCCATGTCTTCCTTTTCATTAGCTTTTCTACCTTTTCAAATAAGGCCTTGGTATTTTTCATCTCTATTACCCAAAGTACCTCTTAACTGATGCTCCTAGATTTCACTACTTTCTTAAACTATGATACACATATCTGTAGCCAAATTTTTATAAATAAGGAACTATTCTATTGTGTTCATTGCCTGCTACAAAATATTCAATAAAGTAATATTCTTAAATGCATATTCCAAATTCACATTTTTGGCATCATCTTCAACTGTTTGCTTTAAACTATACTAAACTATCGGGTCCCTATAAGTCCGAATTGAGCAATTTTTTTTTTTAATCTTTATCGTCAAGTCTCCAAGATACTTCTCCATTCTTCCTCACCTTCGCATATACTGGTTAGTTCACATACAGTTTTCCTTCTAACAAGGAAATTCCAATAATCAAAATCCAGATGAATTATTCCATTGATTATTGTTTTCCCCTGCATCTGTCAATGCAATCTTTTTTCCTCTGAAACCTATTGCTTTCTAAACACCTCTGGTGGTGATTCCCATTCTACTGTGCTTTATGGTTATTTGAGTACACGTCTTGGCTCCCTCACTACTCGTCATTTTTTTGAATGTAGAATATAGTATTTATCTATAAATTCCTGCAGAGAGAGACCTAGTCCCTGGCACTAAAAATATCTGTCACATTGATGAATGAATAAATGAATGAGTGAATGATATTTTGACTGTGTCTACACAACGACAGGTGTTTCAGGAGTGAACACGCTGATGAATCTGGTTGGATGTGGTATATGATTAACCATATAACGTTAAAACAACTGGATAAAATGAAAATATTTAAATTATTTTTAATGAAATGCTAAAGAAATGATTTGATTATCCACAAAACTCCCACCCCAAAATTGAGTTTATTAATAACAAAATTGCCATTCATTTCTGTAGTTAAAAAAAATGTGGCCATGATGGGCAGCTAATAAAATAGTTTCATTAAAAAGTTCATTAAAAACAATAGTGTGTTATAAATGATGTGCCCAACAGACGTATACTAAAGGGGACTTTCCTTGATTACATATCCTAATTTTTTTCCTTTTAGGTATTTATATATTTTTGTATAAAAATGGAAACCTATTTTATTCTACATCATTTCCTAGTATGCAATTGTGTATAATTATAAGAAAATAGTTAATGCAATCTTTTTTTTTTTGTTTTGCAAAAATGATACTGTCTGTACTTTATCATGTTCAGTAACTGGCAATGTATTAGTAAACTACAGCTAGTAACTTTTCAGCAAACTTAAAATAATATACTTAATACATATAGTGTTTTTGGGTGAGAGAAAAAGTCCAGCGGGGATCTGGTGGTTTTCAAAGTTTTATTCATTACACTTATACGCATTTGTCATACTGGATCCATTAAGATATTTGAGGCACGCACTCACCACAGTCAAATTGCGTGAAAAAAATTAATGAAATTATACTGAAATTGTATTTGGTCTATTAAAACTGAGATTCAAGTTATTTTAATATATTGCTTATAATTTTACTAGATATAATTTTATTACGTAGGTGGCTTTAGAGTGAGCATTTATTGACATATTTATACCAATGTCCTAACCATAAATGTGTGAAATCTTCCAGAGCTTTATGTCATTTATATCATACTGACAAAAAACTCTGTTTAGGAATTCTAAAGAGACTTAAAATGTATTCAAGTTTTACAGTTTGCATTAGAAAACAAACATCATTCCACCTTCAAATCACCTACCTTTAAAACACACACACACATTAAATTTTTTAAGTTGTATCCCGAAATAGCCTTTATCATTAAACAAGCCTAATGGAAATGTAAATTGCATGCAAATTTATCACATGAAAATGGAAATAAAACTTTGGATCTCTTCTAAGAAAATGTTTTGGGAATATCTTGGTGAGGAGCGGTTAACATTTTATTACCTAGGGGGAGAGTCAGGAGAGCAATAGAAAGAAGTTATTTTTGACTATGGGCATCTCTGGAGCTCTATAACTTATACAGCTGCATGTCACATTAACATATGAAATTAAGTTCTGACGCCCCCCAAATGTATCATTAAAACAAGTCTCAACAAGGTACAGCAAGTAAACATGCAGCTGGCAGAGTCTAGTGCTCAAGCAGTGGTTCAGCGTCCCTAGCAAAGCATTGCAGGGAGCCTGTTCGTTCAGTATCATCTCTGTACCTGCTCCAGATGCATAATTTTAACCAATCAGACAGTCAATAAACACGTTGTTCTGTACATAAATTATGCCTTCTACCTTCTGGAACATATTTTTTTTTCTCTGAATGGAAAAGAAAGTCTTCATTTTGTTTCATTTCACAATGTTAATGAGCTTTGAAATCATAGTGATAAAAATATCTGTAGTGTTTGTATTTAGAGTAATCTTCTAACCATCTATATTCATTTTCTTCTAGAAAACAATTTGGTTTTCTTTTTTAATAATAGAGGTGGGCATGAGAAGCTATATTAATATATAAACGTAATTCATACTCATTAATTACTACTATTTATTAGAAGATACAGGGAGATGCTTAATATATAAACATAGCAATGACTTTCTGGATAATTTAGAAGAAATTAATTAATTTTCTATCATAATATTCTAATAATTTGGGTAACACATCTTTGATAATATTAATGCTGACCTTAAAAATTTGACCTCAAACTTAACATCTAAATTTGACTAATTGAAATTTTCATAATACATAAAATAATAAACAATGCTTTTTATCTATGTATATATGGATTTGTGATTAAATAATTCGGGTTTCAGGTGTAGATTTAGGATTTGATAATAAATTTGGGGCATGAATGTCAAGCCCTCTAGAATACTAAGTGATGCACTGAGTCAGTAAATTACTTAATGGCACTTTTGAGGCCAATGAGGAAAAACTAGTGGAATGGAATAGTTAAAAAGAGTGTAAATCTTTGCTCAGCAGTAGCCTCCATAGAACCAGTTTTTTCCATTGCTTTAGTTTACAGAAAGACTGAATACTTTTTCACCTTAACTTTAAATAAGGTGGGTGGTATGCAAGAGTGGGAGAAGAAGAGGTTTTGCATTTAATCTTTTTAAAAGAGTAAACATATGTATCACCTAATTCAGGAATGGACACTCCTGTGTTTTTCTTCTATTTTCCAGATTGATTAAGAAATTATTTTTCTGTACTTTGGAAAAATATTCAAAAAGTGACAAATTGCAAGAATTATATTAGAGTCTATATGACTTGCCTATGGAAAATAAACTCTAATATTTTAGTATCTTTTAAAACCACGTTTCTCCATATATGCACATCCTGTTGGTTCTGACATAATAATGACCCCAACCATTGCATAACACTGTGTTTAAAATATATATAGATAACTGGAATCTTGAAAAGAATCCATTACAGCTTTTGCGGAAATACTTTGTCTTATTCTTGTCAGGAATCTCCACATCTGAAAAAAGGTAGTTTTAATAAAAGGTCAGCTAACAGACTCATGAAATAAAGAAGCAGGACTTTCTATGTTAAATTAATGGCTGTTAAGAACATTAGGTTATTAATACATCCAACAAATATTTGGAAAATATATCGTGTTTTGTTTTGTGGGATAGCATTCCTCAATAAGTATGTGAGTAGATAATCAGGAAAATGGATCATTGGGTTTTTTAGGTTTTTGTACCTTGAGATTATTATCCAAGTTTTCTTCACTTACAATACTAGAATATTGGAATTTTGAGTTTCCTGTAGATATACTTAAATTAGAGGGGAAAGAATGTGACTGATCTATTATGATTTACTGAAAATTGTGAAACATATTTCTCAAGGGAAATGGATTCTATGTTGAAAAACCACACTTTCACTGGATTTAGGAATGGGGTTATGAACATACCCTATAAAGTATATTAGTGTCCCATCTCACATTCTATCAAAGATACTAACCACCCTATGACTAACACCAATAAGAGAAGCTAAGGGATTGGTTATTTTTTTCCTTTCATATCATTTTGTATTTCCATATTATAAAAGACAAAGGAAAAACCTTAGAACAGCACCCTTCAGAACAGTGTTGTATACATAAATTAGTGAATTTTCAAGTCTTTTATGAATTAGCTATAATAGGAAGAACTGAACAATTTCAAATACACCAAAATCTCAAAGACAAATTACAGAAAAATCTCAGCATTGACTTAAATATTAAGTGACTTACAATTTTGATATAACAACATTTCATAACAGCATATGAGGATTAAATCTCCTTGTTTTCAACAAATTTTGTTCTAATTCTAGAGTAGTGATTTTCTTATTAATTTTTGAACAATTTCATGATTGTTACCATTGGTTTCTCAATCAGAGTAGGCCCACTTAGTATTTACTATGATCTGAAGGTCGACAGGTATTAAAATGAACCTTTTGGAACAGTTCATAGTTATATTTTACACAGCAAGCATTCAATTATAAATTACTATTTCATATACATTGCAGGCAACCCTCATATCTACCTTTCACAAAGCACTTTACATCTATCTAGAATTATAACAAAGGAGTGGTTTTATTCTCTATGATTTCATGCTTCCCTGACTTTATAAAGGGAATTCGTGCTTCCACATATTTCCCCAGCAGAAATCTTGTTAAGATGAATGAAATAAATTTTTTAAAGTGTGTGCGAAAATAAAAATTTGCTTACATCAATTTCAAGAAACCTGCAGTTAATATAAAGAAAAATAGTTTATCAAAAATGTAATAGTTACAATGTTTCCAAGTAATTCATGACCCTTTTGTTATGTTTTTAATCTCTATACCATGAGAGAAGCTGCAGTTCATTTTCTATGTCTCTCATTAAAATACAAAACAAAAGAAACAAAAAAACCCAACAGACATGTTTCTTTATAAAGGTGATTGATTTGGTAAAGATCACAAAATGGGTAAATGCTCTAAATAAAATAATGATTTAACATTTCTATTTTCAAAATACTGAACTCCTTTTCCCTTGCTATTTGAATCCCTGCAAAGAAATAGTAAATGGTACGAAAACACTGGATATTGTGAAAACTAATGAATGAAGGATATATTCTGAAATATATTTCAGAAGGACTTATAATATATATATTAATATCTGTCATCATAAAGGCAAATGAATATCCAGGGAGACATTTTAAAATTTTGTAAATTACACACATTGATTTTTTTTTTACATTAAAGATAATTAACGCAACCCTGGCTATTTGTAACATACACACACACACACACACACACACACACACACACACACACACACACACACACACATATATAGGGTCGCTATGAGTTGGAATCAGCTTGACGGCAATGGGGTTTTATAGATATATATGTATATATATATATAATATATATGTATATGTATAATATATATGTATATATAATGTATATATAATATATATGTATATATAATATATATGTATATTATATATGTATATATAATATATGTATATATGTACACATATAATATATGTATATATAATATATGTACATATATAATATATATGTATACATAATATATATGTATACATAATACATGTATATATAATATATCTATATATAATATATATATACATACACATACACACGTGTGTGTGTGTGTAATAGAATGATTAGAGTCTCAAGGCAGATGGTGATATCAACAATGCAAACACCACTGATAAAAGATACCTCTTACAAAAATGTGAGCAGTCTTGGGGATAGGGTGTCTAATACCTAGGCATCTGGGTTTCGTTCAGAAATACTGCAGAAATAGTTTTTTGTCACTGGGTAGATTTCAGTGAAAGCAGGATGAATAGTTGGAATGTCAATATTATATTTATGTGTGTGAATGTTACAACAAAGTGGGTGACCAGAGTGATGAAAAATAATTTGAGATCAAAAATGGAAACATGTAATCACCAATTTCATCTCGTAAACAGAACAACACATATTTGAAAAATATTAGATCATGGTTTCCTGGTGGTAAAGCTAACAGAGTAAAAAATCAGAACCTCAGAGCCTTGCAGAACTGTTGAAATAGTTGAATCGCAGAACCAAGGATCTTGATCAATCATCTTCAAAGCATGTTCTTCAGAACCCTAGATTCCTCAAGCCATCTACAGAAACCTCTAAAAGACACTGTGTTTACTATGGCCAAGTTTACTGAATATGCTTTGCATTATATTCAGGTCAAAACCAACCTCACATTTATTTATGAATGAAACTTTTCATGAAATGAAAACCGATTAAGATTTTAAGACTTCAAAATGTCTCAAAACCTCCGCTCTGTAATTGCAAATGTGTCTGTTCATAAATGATGTGATTGAGTGTTCCATAAAAATTATTTACATAGTAACTGAAAAATACTGGTATGGTTATACACAGAAAATTAAGTAACAGACTTTAGATTTCTTAGTATTTTACTCACTCTATTAGGAAATGATTCTTCTCAGTTTTTAATATCTGCAATCTAAGGTTGTTTTCTCTTCAATGCTTTAATCTGAAGAAATTCTATCCTTACCTGAAACCTCTTAGTGACTTGAAATTATAAAATGGAAGCTCAGAAAATATAGTAATGAAACATTTTTAGCTTTCCTTCTCCCCAGTAATTATTTTGGAAAATTTTCTCTCTTACTGTTCAATTGATATAAGAATAATTAATGTTTTATTTTGCTTGATTTTGTTTTGTTTTAATAAGAATGCATAAAAAACAAACTAATAAAACCTCTGGCTCTTCCATAAATTTTGCCATGAAGGCTGGTAGTAATTGTACTGAGTACTTAAGCACAATCTTGGCTAAATAATATATTTTTTTTTTTGCACACAAACACACATACAAAAAAAGATACTTATGCACAAACACATAAACAACATTCATTGCCACCACAATTTCTAATATTATTTGAAGAAAGGTTTAAGAAAAAGTTTTTGCGGGTTTTTATCATGTTTCCTGCTACGTTCCTTATGAAGGAAAATTTCTACGTTTCCACTTCCCTTGTTTTCTTTTATTAGTTTATTTTATAAACCCACTGAAGTCATCAATGCAGCAGAAAAAGAAAATACTTTTTTTTGAAATCAAGCATTTTCAATGCAGCTAAAGTTAGTTTTGGCCAATACTTTTTAAGTCACGGGCCAATAAGTGTTCTAACTCACACTGAGGTATCTTTGAGATTAAATCCAAGGTAGGCATGACAGACAATCTTCTTTTTTTTCCAAGATGTAAATTCTGCCTATTTGGCTTGAACGATAATTTCCCTGTTATGAGCCATTCTTTAGGTTTCTATACTACAGTAAAAAATCACAGTGTAAAGCCATAGGGTAAAGTTATACTTTACTCATTCCCAGATTTCAGTATTCATTTGGTTTTTCACTGCAGGCCCATAATCATAAAAAAAATTCTGAATAATTTAAATAATTTGGAACAAATCTGCACTTTCAAATTAACTTAAAATCTTTTCCCAAATATACAAATTTCAAGAGACTAAAAAAGATCTCTGAATTACATCAGTTTGTGTTTATCTATCTCTTTTCTATGAAAATCTTCAATATCCATTCTACCACTTATCATATGTGCATACATGCGTAAACTTACTCATACACACAATTTTTTGAATCAACAAAAAATAATTTATACCAAAAGACTATAGTAAAATGCTAAAATCCTTTGAGAAAACCCTATAATTATCTCAAATACATCTCAGAATATCTCTTTTTGGCAAATTCTAACTACAAATAACAAAGTACAATAGTGTAGAGATTAAAATCCTTTAATTTAGAAATAGATTATCTAAGATATTTCAATTTTTATAAGGTAGCTAACTATTATTAATGAGTCCCTCTAAATATGTGAATCGATTTCTCTGGTGTTATATTTCAGCCTTTAGTTTTATAGCTATTAGCCAGATATATATTTAGTATTTAATTCGTAAATAATTAAGACTATCCCATTTAGACTGAACCCCCCAAAAATTCTGCATAGTTTTTACTGTGCTGGCATAAAAGTAGAAACATCACTTCTAACATCTGAAATTATTGAAACTTAATAATATTGAGCAAAACATTTACAATTACTTGTGGTTTTGTTCTTCAATGCCATATGTATCCAAAATTATTATGAAAATAGAAGATCCTAGTTATGTTATGGTCATTCCATGGTTCTGGGAGACAAAAAAGGTGATTTCCCCTTGAAGGAAGGAACATTCTACTTCCACGTATGACATGGTTTTACTTAATGGAACAACAAAAACAGTGGCATGTTAAATGTAGAACAGATGCTACAATGTTACAACTTCCTAGTTAAAATCAGAACCTCCCCAAGAGCCTTGGAGATAAATATGAACCCTTGACATAGGGATGATGTACTATATATAACATTTTATTTGAAACAATTCACTGTGAAATCAATTGTGATTCTGCTTTGGGAACCAGTTTCACTCTTTTGTTCAAACTGTTAAAGCGTAAGCAGTGTACTAACTGTTAAAATGTACACAAATGGAAAAAGAAAAGGAATGCTGACAGTAATACATATAGGTGGGACGTTACATAGGAGTGAAAGTGGGAGGGGAACACTAACCATATTAGGCTTGGATGGGCAACAGCGCACAGGGAAGAAGCCCTCCCACAGCCACATTCGCAGCAACTGAAAAGCAAACAAGAGAGCCCAAGATAAGGAAGATATCCCACTCCCTCAATACAGCATAAAGACACTGAATTTAGTCAGGTGTCTGCGTTGCTTTTCAAGAGCAAAAGTCACTAAATGCATACGATTAAAAGTTTTCCACAGTGCCTTTCATTTTAATAAGCATTTCATGGATTTAAATACAGTTTTACCAAATACTCATTTTTACTTTACTCAAAATCATTATTCAATAAAAAAGTATATTGAGTCAATCCATTTAATTATTAATTAATATAGACATACAAATAAAGATGTAAATATATCTTTCCTCAAAAATTTCCTTAAAAGTTTACATTTGGAAGCCATTCTAAACAGTTCTTTAAATACATGTTTTGTGTATAGCCTATGAAATTAAGAGGGAGAATAATGCCTTGCTCATTCACTGATTTCTTATGCCAGTGGTATTATTTCTCATAGCCTGTTGAAAATTATACGCTTATGTGAGTCTTCAATCCCTTATGTAAGGCTACTAATTTAAATTTGCATTTTCAGATTTTAAAAATGCATTCCCAAATATATATTTGTAGAGCTATTGATATAAAGAGAAAACTACATATAATGCACGCACTTTTCTGGGTTTTCTAATACTCGAGATTCTTTTAAATTTTCCATATATTCATAGTAAAATATACAGAATACACAAAATAATTTAATAAAATTCATTTCATTGATAGAAACCATGCAAACTGCTGGCAGAATACAACTTGGAAATTATTTAGTACTGCAATGTATTCACTCTCAAGTATATTTTATGAATAGCCTTTCTAATGGTTTCAAGAGAACTGTGGAATAATTTCAGTAATGATATCATATAACATCAGGCCTAGGACTTTTTCCAAAATCTTTCTATTTTGAACTTTAATTATTTGAAATGTATCTACTTTATTTTTATCAAATAAGAGAACAAAAATAAAACATCTGATAAATTTGCAAATGTTAAGAAAGGCAAAGAAGTATTTTCAAATCAAATCCCAAAAACTTTTTTAAAGAAAAGTAAGCAATGTTCCATAGGTTTTCCTGAAGAACTGATTTTTTAATTTTTAGTGCTAGTAAGTATCTGAGGATTTGGCTGTAACTAAAATGGAATCCTAGTAAACAAAATGGCTTTATGATATTTATTTCCAGTTTGACTCTTTATTATAATACATCTTGTTGTAATGAAATGCCAAATAATTATTTTCAGTATAAATATATAAAATGTCAATTTATAATATGTCAAAATATGAAGATACTCCAAGAGTAGGTAAGACATCTACAAAGTATTTTGCAAATAGTAATGTATTTCTCAATAATTACATTTATTTTATTAATGTCATAAACTATTACGTAGAATTTTATATGCTTTAACTTTCCTACTATCTGTTTTATCTCAGTACTTAGGCTAGGGATTGACAAACTACACATGTGGGTCAAATGCAGTCTACCATTTGCTTTTGTAAATATAGTTATTGGAATACTGCTATATTGTTAAGGAATCCTTGTTGCACAATGGTTAAGCTCTTGGCTGCTAACTGAAGGGTCTGCATCAGCCACTCCATGTGAGAAAAGACCTGGCAATCTGCTCCAGTAAAGATTACAGTCTTGGAAACCCTATGGGGCAGTTCTACTTTGTCCTATAAGGTTGCTATGAGTCAGAACACTGCTCTACTCATTACTTATTGTCCTCCTGCTACCAGGGCAGGGTATGTATAGCCTGCAAAGTTTAAAACATTTACTATCTGGTCCTTTACAGAAAATTTGCCTTTCCATATGGAGATGAGGGATGAGTCCTTGGTATTTTTTCCCCATAGTTTTAAACATAGTGAATGACACTTTATAAGAACTCAATGTTTGTTATTGTAATTGCTATTAATTAATGATACAATTGCCTATATTTACTGATAATTGCTCATGTAGAAAGCTTGCATATATGTATTAATCTTAAACAGCACTGTTCCAACTCAATAAATAATAAAAATTTTATTGATTGTTGAAGAAGAAAATCTTGAAGATCTGCTTCTGAAAATCAGCTGATAAAAACCCTATAGATAACAACTGTCTGATCCCGTGGTGCATGAGGTTGCCCTGATTCTAGGGCCAACTCAATGGCAGCTAGAAACATTGAGCGCTAGCAAGAGCATCCAATTGTTTTCTAGTGAGAAAAAAAAATACCATTCCCTAATAAAACGTAAACTTCCTTCAAGCTGAAAGAGTATGTACAGTTTACAAACCCATGTAGAATTATGCTTAGGAAGGCATTGATGGCACTGGGGTTGGCCATTACTTAATAGGATTTAGTTAATATTTGTTCAGTGCTGTAATACTCAAAAACTGTCTAATGATTTTAAACATAAGACAATTTCATTCAGCCCTCTTTATTTAAAATCATAAGAAGCTCTGTCTTAGGAATTGGTACACACATGCACGCGTGCAATTCTCTTTAAAATCAAATCTATGAATCTAGTTCAGGAAAACTTAAATTACCTTACCTAACATTAGAAGTTTAATTTATAGTTTTAATAAAGTATAGTCAAGAAACCTCAAACCATGTAAAATAAAACATTTCTATACCTATTTTTTCCTGAGTTATTGTTTTAGATATTTTATTGATACTTTCTTGGGGTTGTTTTAAGATGGCATAAATACGTTATCCTTGGGTAAGTTAGTTAACCTTTTTGGAGTCTCAGTTGGTAGCTATAAAATTGAGATAATAATGGACCTTATTTCATACCTTTTGGGAAAAAATGTGGTAGCTATTTCTCTTACTAATATCATAAATACAAATGATAGAACAAATTCTCATTCACATAAGAATTGATTTTTTTATGATCCATATAACATTAACCTACTAAATATTTCCATTCATAATATAATTAAATAAATAATTATATTCAGACTCATGGAAATACAGGAAGGACAATGTAATTAAAAATATTTTCACAAAATACATTTTCTAAGGATTTAGTGATCAGAAGATAACATTTATATGTTATTAAGGAAATAAAAATTGAATTTCCTTTTCTATGAATATCTAAAGTAGAATAGTAGTTCCACAAATAACTCTTTTTAAATAAACCCTCAGGTTGCTATCACAGTAATACTTCAACACCAGCTGGTATAAAAACATGTTCTTTCCTTAATTAATAAACACTCAGAGAGATACAGGTTGAAAATGCCTATAAGCCTTGGAGACAATTTAGAAATAGAAACCAGAATGTGCTAGAAATAGCAGCCAATCTAATTTCTGTGAGCTACAGTTCAACACAGGGTGCATCTGATTCCCATCAGTTATTAAGCACCTGAAAGTCTGTAAGTAACTGCATGCAGATCATTATTATCTAACTTCAAGATAGTTTAGCCCTTTCAGGCTTACAGTCAAAAACTGCTGGTTGGTCTTTGTTTTAACAAGATCTTCTGACTTGTCCTTCAGAAAATTAAAATATAACAGAAGCTGTCCAGACCCAAGGAAGATTCCAGTGTAAGTACTTTAGCTAGGTCTTACACAGAGTTGTTCAATATATGCATGAAGTGTGTCAGTGTGAGTAAGATAACCTCCCTCCTAGGGATGCAAGGTGATTATACCTCTAGGGAAGAAATTCTCAGAGATACTAGATCAGAGAAGCAGGACTGCAGCCTGGGGTAAATGATGACTTAAATTCTTAAGCAAGAGATCATACAAGTGGATTAAAAAAACACCAAGATCTCAATACCATAGATAAATGAGACAAAGGCAAGAAGAGTGATTTCACAAAAGTACTTCAATTGGAAAATCTGAATGTAAAAATATTTTCACTGTATTTGTAAAAAACTACAACTAAAAACTGCATAATCTCTTTATTTGAATTAAAAAAGTGAAAAGTAAACTTGATGCTGGAGAAAGCAGAGTTAGAGTAGTGTCCTTGTACGTGGCAGATGGCACTGAAAATGGCACCAATTCTTTAGAAAACAAGTTGCCAAAACCTATCAAAGAGTAATGAAAGTGTTCTCACTCTTTGTCACCATTGTATGGCAAAATATCTAAGACATGATGTTTGCAGTCAAACTAGGAACTGTCCTGGATATATCCATTACTAAATCGACTCAACATCGATGAGTTTTTTTGGTTTAATGTTATAACTTGGCAAAATCATTCATTGTTGCCAATGAAGTAATAATAGAAACTAGATTACTTTGAAACATGATATTGATAATACATGTAAAACTCTCCGAAATGTCCTAGGATCACAGCACTTTATAAGTTTACAACTTATATTATTATATTAAGATGGTATTAGCGGAAAGAATGGGTGCAAATAGTATGCATTAGGCTGTTTATTGTGATTTATAATGGCCATAGAGTTTAAATAAACTAAATGGTAAAGAAAATATTTTGCAGTAAACAAAAATATATTTATGGAGTCTATGAAGTAATGGGAATAAGTATTGTATAATATTCAATAAAAAACAAAGTACTTAAAGACTGTGCAAAGAAATAAAATGATGGCAAATATATATATATAAGAGCTAACAGCTACTGCGTTGGTATATTATGTTAATTTGCATTATGGGAAGGTTTTAGTTTCTCTGATTTCAATAATTTTGTGGTTATTTCACTTTTACTTTTAAGATAATTAAAGAATTTAACAATTCCAATTATGATACTTGTTGCAATATATTTTTGTTCACAACCTGTCAGTGTTAATAATAAAATATTTGAAATAATTTAAATGTGTAGCAAATATTTACAACAAATGAAGCTGGGGAAACTGTTCACTTGTAATTAATACTAAAAGTGTTAATTGTCTTTACATTTCTTGAGATATCTCATAATACAATAACTTTTGCATCTGTGTCTTAATTCACTGTTGCTCTTCTAAGATTTAGAGCTGATTTTCTGAGAAAGCCAGGCTAAAACTGTAGAAATCTTTTGTAAAAATTGGCAAATGAATAAAAAATATAAAGATAATAGGTGACCCCCAAATTCTACCCTTCATGTACCATAC